CTAGGCTTCAACACATGATTTTGGGGGAACATAGATATTTAGTCCACAGAAGCATAGCATTAGCCCGGCCTTGGGGAACAGAGACCCGAATGGAGAGTTGGTGTTGGCAGGCACAGGCCAAGTGAAGAGTGAGGGGCCCTGGGGAGAGGAGAGAAGCCCAGAGGAAAACAAGGAGGGCAAAGATGGCTGGGGGGGTGAGATTGAGGTTGTTGGGCCTGGAGGACTCTGTTAAAAAGCTTGAGACAACAGGCAGGTGCTGAGGGTTTGCAGCCAGGGTGTGATCTGATTTGACTTGCAGTGTAGACAGATCCTTTTGCTGACGTAAGAATAAAATGGAAGTCTCAGTTTTTTTGGTGGTTGCGAAGCTTGGGTGATCTGGCCCTGCTGAGGATGTCGGATCTCATTGTCCTCTTCTAAAGGCCCTCAGTAACATAGATTGATCCTAAAAACAACAACAAAAACACACACACAAAGCAAAGGTGTCAGGACTGGTGCAAGGTAACCTGTTTCAATGATCCTGATGATAGGTGGGTTGAATAAGGTGACAGAGGGAAGGTGCCCTCTGGGCTCATCATAGAGTTACAGGATAACACCCAAGAGTCAGGAGCAGGGAAGACTATAACTCAGAGATGAGTGAGGAGGACTGAAGCTTCAAAACAGACAGCTACCCTACTGTCTAGGCCACCTCATTCTCAGTCACACAAAGTTGATCCAACCTTGAGGCGGCCCCAGGGCCAGCAGCAGCTTTCATGAGAGCCATCTTACCATATTTATGAAAGGTGTCAGGCCTGGACCACAGAAAACTATAGAATTAAGATGCTTGGCTATCTTATGAGGCCTACAATTCCTTCAAAACTGAGTCATCGGATGTGCTATCCCTTTGGCTCCTCTGTCTGAAGGTGGACACTGTAAAGGCCCAAGAGAGAATTCCTATGACACCATTTTCTCAACATTCCATCTCAACCCCCTCTGGCAGTCTGTTATTTTGGCATCTACACTTGGCAGCCATTCCTCTGAGATACGTCACAGACCTCATTGTTGATGTCACCATTTCACTGGCTTAGAAGAAGCTGCAGTGTTGATGTTGTAACATGTGTGGTTTTGATGAATTTGCTGTAACGCAGAGCCTGAGGGGCAGTCCAGGCAGTGGTTTTGATGAATTTGCTGTAACGCAGAGCCTGAGGGGCAGTCCAGGCAGACCTGGCTTGGTGGGCTGGGAGGCATCAACTCATAGACTTCACTCCAACTGTGTCTGATTTTGTTGAACCAGGATCACACAGCCAGCCAATGCCCACTTATCTTTGGCTAACTGGGTGCCAGAGAGTATGTGAAGAAATGCAATAAAAAAGAGAAACTCCAAAGTGGTGTGTGACTGTAAGTTTGAACTTGCCCACTAACATTTTCTTAAATTGTATGCATTTTGCTTTTTGTTGGAAGGTTTTATTTATTTTTAAAGTTAAAAAATTTCTGCCGAAACCGGTTTGGCTCAGTGGATAGAGCGTCGGTCTGCAGACTGAAAGGTCCCAGGTTCGATTCAGTTCAAGGTCAAGGGCGTGTACCTTGGTTGTGGGCATATCCCCGGTAGAGGGTGTGCAAGAGGCAGCTGATTGATGATTCTCTCTCATCGATGTTTCTAACTCTCTATTCCTCTCCCTTCCTCTCTATAAAAAAATCAATAAAATATATTTAAAAAAATTTCTTTCACTTAGAGTTTATATTCAATATTATTTAGTATTAGTTTTAGGCATAGTGGTGGCATAGTGGTTAGAGCATCATATATTTTACAAAGTGTTCCTTCTGATATTTCCTGTACCTAATTGATACCACACATAGTTTTTAAAGTATTAGTGACTATATTTCCTGTGTTGTAGTAGGGAGGTTTTACATACATATGAAAGTGAATAGAATGCAATAAGGAGCCCACTCCTTCATTACATCATCAAAAATGATTAACTCATAACCAACCTTATTTCATCTCTAGTTCCCTTATGTGCCCTTAATATTTTTAAGCAAATCTAGATAACACATAATGCCATCCTTAAATATTTTAGTATGAAACTCTAACAAAAGCTTTTTATTAGAATTGCTAGGTAGGAGAAAATTAAGTGATTTAAAGTTCTCTTAATGTGCCGAGTAAAGAAAAAGAGGAAGAACAGACATTGCTGATTCATGTTGAAGACTTGCACACACATAAGGGGCTCACTGGTGGCAGGGTGGTCTCTGTTAAGTTGCGAGTGGGACCTCAAAGGTCTCACCCACTCCTTTCTGGCTGTTGAGGTGAGGAATTCGCCTTGGGGGGACAGTGAGGAGTAGTTGTGCATGTTGATTCTCTGGGTAGAGATGGAGGATAGCAAGTAGTTGACCTTGGTCCTATAAATTGTCTTTTGAGTCCCGAGTTTCAGGTAGAAGCTTAGGTAGCTGTTTCATGAGGGACGTGTGAGACTCTGTGGGTGAAGACAGACATTATATTCTGGTGCCAAAGTGGCCCCGGAGATTTGGGCTGTGGAAACACTGGGAGGCAGCAGCCTGTGTCTGGGTTACCTCGAGGGGGACACCAGTAGCAGCAGCTGTGGTACGACGTTCGAAAGGCTGTCCAAGTAGAAGATAATGAAGGGCTTTAGGAACAAGACAACCAAGGTGCAGAAGGCTCTGTTGCTGATGGAAGCTGATGGACTAAAGAGGGCATGTAGGACACCCCTAAGAGCCATTACGTCTTTCTGAGAGAGGGGTGTGTCAGTCAGACTGCTCCCCAGCCTTGAGAGCTAGGTGTGGTGAAAATGGATCCAGTATGCAGATAAAATAGGACTGAGATTGGGACTAGAGCACAGGGTGGTGGTCACAGCTAACAGCAAGGAGCGGTAGCATGAGACAACCATAAACTTGGGAGGGGAATTCAGGAGAAGCAGGATGTGGGCTCTGGAGCCACATGCCTGCATCTGAACCCTCACTCTGCTGCTTTGAACTACCGACTTAACCCTTCTGCACCTCCGTTTCCTCATCTGTGAAGTGGAAGGTGCTCCCCGTAGATTGCTTTTGAGGGTTGAAGGATTAATGTGTGCAAAATGTTTCAAACATTGTCTCATGCATGTTAAGGACTCAGGCAGTGCTAGGTATTGCTGTTGTTCTTTTTATTACTATTATCAATGTTGACATGATGCTGATGATAAGAAGAGGGAACCCTGTCACTGAGTAAAGTCCCACACCTTCAGCACCGGCTCAAGCTCCCACCTGCTCTGACTCACCTTGCCTGTCACTTCCTAAGAGAACTCAGCTACATTTCCCACACACCCTACTACGCTTTTCCTGCCTTTCCCTGGGATTCTCCTCTCCACCCACGGAAGCTGCAGTTCTCACTTTGAACCCTTTTTCAAGGGCTTTCTCTGACATCACTTTCTTGGTCGAGTAGGAGCTCCCCTTCCAACTCCCAGGGCCTCTGCTTTCTCGGCTGATGTGACTATGTCAGGCATACCTTTGAGAACCGTGCTAACCACAGGGCTGAACGCCCTGAAGGTACAAATTCAGCTTTATTTAATCCAACAAACACTAAGTGGTGGTGGCCATGTGCAGGCCCTTGGTAAGGCATTGGGAATTCAAAAGAGAAAGACGTGACCAGATGTGAATGTCCAGTTGAAAAACCAATGAGTCAACAAGTACAATGCCAGATACATCAGATGTGAAGCAAGATCTCTGGGAGCAGAGGACTCTTAATTTTCATATTTTCCACAAGACACTCTGTCACATATCAGCGGATGCTCAAAAGCAGTTTGCATAAAAGAGAGTGTTAACTCAACGGAGGCTTTATCTGACTGTGCAGACTACTGTACCCCAGGACTCTTGGCTAACCCCTCCTGCAGGGTTTTTAGGCAGCTGGAGCTCTGAGAAGGGAATGCCTGCATTCTTCCCCCCCAGGTCTGGGCCAAGGCTGCCAGAGATGGTGGGAAAAGATCTGCTGAAGGAGTATGAAGCTTAGGATATGGCCTGAATGTCTCCACTCTGCCCCCACCTCAGGTCTACCTGTCCCGGTGGGAAGGAAAATGGTGGTCTTCTTCACTGGAGGTGTTTCACTTACACCTGGTGAGGCCACTGAAGACATTCCACAGCCTCATCCCGGGGCACCCGAGGATCCTCTCCCTGGGAGTCACTCACTGGGTGTGGTGTCTGGGACAGGAAGATAAGCCAGCAGAGTGGAAGTAGACGGCCAGGTACCCCATCCTTTACAAGAGAGCAGTCCTGCCCGGCCATGACTAAGGAAGAGTGAGGGTCATGGTTACGATGCTCAGTACCCAGCTTCTCCACCTGACCTTTTAAACAACAGTCACTGCTAAACATTTCATCTGTGGACAACCATCTCCCTGGTCTCTATGTCACCTTGATCCCTGCCTGCTCTCCAAGCCTGAGCGTCTATGAACTTAATGACTATGCTATTATACTGATTTGCTGTGTGCATGGGGCCTTGGGCATTATTTTACAGATGATAGTAATAGCCCACCTTTACAGAGAACTTGCATGTGCCAGGCCCCAGGTTTGCCTCCTCATCTAACCTTTACAACAGAGCTCTGAGGCAAGGACAGTTATCACCCCCATTTCACAGGCGAGGGAACCAGAGCTTCAGGAGATCAAGCATAAAAGCGTCAGTGCTGGACCTCACCCCTCCTGTCTTCGGTTGGTGAACACCCGGGAACTGCATCATAGGATAGGCTCCTCGGCAGCCAGTGCTAGGCTTTAGTTTTCTGCCATTTTCTGTAAATGACCACTGATTGATTGCTTGACTCATAAGACTGTTTTAAGTAAAATAGAATATGTGTCTTTTAAGGAACTCAAATCCCTTAGAAGATCATTTCCAACCTGTTTCCAAAGAATCTCTGGGCAAGAACAGTCTAATACTCCTGACCCTGCAGGCTTCCCCCTCCCGCGCCCCCCCCCCCCCCTCCCGCGCCCCCCCCCCCTCCCCCGCACCGGGACTGACCTTTTTTTATTTTATTTTTTATTATTATCACAGACGCTGTCTGGAGACAAAGCCGAGCGCCAAGAGAAAGAGGCCAAGACTCGAATGTATTTCAGACAAGACCCCGAGGACTGAGTCAGACTTCTGCACAGAACACCGAGTCTAATTTTAGATGACTCGACTCGACTTAGCCCTTTAAGCTCTGCCAGTTAGTTTTGGTTACGTGTCATTGTTTAAAGTTTAAATATTCTTTGCATTTTTTTTTTCCTCCAAGAGTGCAGTTAAATTAGATGCTGGTCGAAAGGACAAGTTATTTGTGGATGTATGTGCCTCCCCCATTAGGCTTCGCTGCCTGCGACTTTCTGAAGCCGCCTGGGAAGGTGAGCTGTATATAGATCAAGAGAGTGTGTATGAAAACTGTTTAGATAACGATTGCAAGGTGCTCAGAGAAGACCTGACTTTATTTAGACATTCTGTTTCTTCACAGTTTCCTTCCTGGGAGGACTCTTGGCTCTCTTTCTCCGGACAGTGTGTGTGGGGGTTAAGGAAAAGGCAGCATGTGGGGGTCTGGGGAGGGCGGCGTGACTGCCAGACCAGAAAATAATAGATTTTTTTTTTATTGTGAAAGAGATTGCATCATTCATATTTGAAATTCCCATATGGTACAATTTTATTAAATTTTGATATGACCCAGGTTCCCAGAGGTATTGTGGATCTTGGAAGAGTAAAAAAGGGCCCAGGCCACTTGATCAAAGATCAGAAGTTCAAAGACGGCCAAGGTGGTGCATAACTGCATGAAGGTCAACTCTAAAATATGTGCGAACATGTTGTTCGCCATTTATTAAGCTCTATGCAGAGGCATTTTTTTCTGGAGGGAGGTCCCATAAAAAAGTTCATGGACTTAAAAAAAAACACATCTACATAAAGCTGAGTTATGGCTGCTGGACGAATCTGCCACATAGGAAACTCTTGGAAGAGAATTATGGCTTATATCATCTGTGATTTATCTGGGTCCAAATGCACTGAAACACGCAACAGTCTTGAGTTGGAACAGCATCTACGTCCTCCAAAGTCTCTCCTGCCTCCAAGATGGGGACTCGGGACAGGCTGCCCTCATCACTCACAGAGGACAATGGAAACACACGGCTGGCTGATTCATGGCGCTGAAATACTAGAGCTGTCCCCAGGGGCTCCTTGTTTTAAAGTCAACTCAATAAATATTTATGAGAACTTTCTATGTACTGGACACTCTGTCCAAGGCTGAGTGGGATTCAAAGACGAGTGGGATACAACACACACTGGGAAAGTCCCCTGGGAGAGCCCTGTTGCTGTAAGAACTCTGAAGAGACCATCTATTGTACCTCTGGTGAAGGTGCCAGGGCCCTCTTCACAGCCAGGTGGTGATGCAGAGGGCGGCATGACTTGCAGGGTGGTGGGGCCCTTCCTGTGCCCACGTAAACCCGCGGGAACAAAGGCAGGGCCTTCTCCTCCTGGGTCCTGCGACGATAGTGCCCTTGCCCCTCATTGCTAGCCAGCAGCCCGCTCCCAGAGTAGATAGCCAGAGTGCACAGTCCCTTTCTCATGCTGGGAGGAGGCTGTGGGCACCAGTCATGTGTGAAGAGATGTTCCCAGCAGTGTAGGAGTGGGGTCCAGCTCTGCCCAGCCTTCAAAGATGCCCTCCAAACTTCTGAACTGGAGCCCCCTGCCCAGGCTCCGGGCTCCTCTGGGGTTAGGATGAATAGGAGGGATGCAGGGGGCAGTGTTGCCATGGGTTCCTGAGCAGCATCCTTGTCCAGACACCCATCACTGGCCTTCCCCAGGGGGTGCATTTGTTCTCTAGGAGCCCCCCAACACATATTCAGGGTCCGAGTGCTTCGGGATAAGCAACCACTTGGCACATGGGAAGACTTGTGCTACCTGCCATGCAAGAGATAGGAGACCATGGTAGCCGGTTCGCCTGATCCTGTTGGGAGGCACTTTGATCGGTCTTCTTCCTGAAAGTGCAGGTGCTGGGCGGGGAGGGGGTGGATGGGGACCCTGGGATATAGCTCCTCATCTGATTGGTCAATTGAGGAGCTCTCTGCAACCCTCACTTAACTTGTGATGGTGTTGTGGGGCTGGGAGGAAAAGGGGAGAAACACTCTGTCAAGAGAAAAGATGCCAAGAAAACATATGAAAAAGTACAGGCAGTGAGTTGACTTAGGAACTCAGGGAGTAAGAGGTCAGCTGAAATTTCCTCCTGGAATGCTGCATTGAATTTGTTCTGGAAATGTAACATGATAGTTTCTGCTTTCCAATGAAGTAGACTTTGATGCATTGTTTGGTGGTGGGTCCACAGGCTAAGATCAGATGTACCCACACTTCCCCTGGTCCACAAACAGGACACGCACGGAGATGAAACACTTGGCAGAGCAGAGCTCAAGGGAAGGTCTGGTTATTAGGGGAGAGAACGTCTGGCCGGAAAGACGCTGAGTTGCTCATAATGCTGTGAGGTTTCTTTGATGTGAGATGGGAATCATTTGGTGAAATGTCAAGATTCAGCACAGGGATCAGGGTGTCCCTGGGGTTGCCACTGGAAGCCCCCAGTGGGTGTGCACAGAGGAGGAGGCCCTGGACTTCCTGTGAGGGAGGACTTTCTAATTATGAGGACCTTCTCTCAAGACAAGGTAGAGAGCTCCTCGTTACCAGAAGTGTTCGAGCGGAGTCTGTGCGACCACAGGGCACGGCACTTGGTGCTTCTCACCAGCCCTACTAGATTGAAAGCTCCCGAAAGAAGGTCTTTAGAGCCCTCAGAGCCGGTGGTTTAGGAAGCTCTGATTATTATCCAGCCCTGACTGTCTGGTCTGAAGGAGCTGGGTCATCATTTCTTCCTAAGGGGATGTCTGATTCTTTTGTGGTTTTGTTCCCACCCTCGTGAGGTCAGCATTATCTCAGGAAGGTAACAGCTGCTGAAGAGGAGTCACCTGAAAGCCTCAGAGCTGCACTTCAGGGAGTGAGGGCTCTAATTCACTCACCCCTGGACAAGGCTCTCATGGCGGTGCCTGCACAGGCCATAGACCTGGGGTGCAGGCAGCCAACACTGTGGCAAAGGGAAGGCGCCCAGCTCTTCCCAGCAGCCCATTGCTAGGCCCACCGAGGCTGCCACCATGCTTGTCACTCAAGCATTGCTTTATCTCAAGGTCTTGGATTTGGGGGTTAACAAAGGGGGAATTTTTCAATTCCTATGCAATGTATTTCTATAGTACAACAGTGGCTTATAAAAATCACATATTACGTATAAAATAAAAAATGCAAAACATATATTTGTAACATTGCTCACTTGGAGTGAAGTGATCCCTGTTAAAATGCTGAGCTCTAACATCACCCTAACCACGTCCTCCGAGCCCTGAAGCCTGGCTAGTTCATCAGATTACCTAAAATGGGATGATTCAGAAAGAAGGAATGTTAACTAGTCAGCAGAGGGTTGGATTTATGAGTGGAGGGTGGTGGGATGGTGGGGAGGGGGACATTCTAGATCCAGGTCCCCAAGGAAATCCAGGATTATAACATTCTCAGGCTGCAGGGAATTTAGCTGGAAATCTGTTAGTCTAAGAGCAGCTGGGTTTCCTCCCATCCTCCCCCCCGCCCCCCACCTCTGCTTTGCTCTGCTTCATAGGCTGGCCTAGCAAGGCCTCGAAGTCTGGAGGTCAAGAGAGAAAAAGGTCTGTGGGTATCATGCCCTTAGTGCAGGTCCGGAGCTGGGCCTGTAGGGCAGCCAGGCCTGGCAGGTGTTCAGAATGCTCCTGTGCAAGGAAGAGGCCAAGGAGATGCTGAGCCTTTTCTGAGAAAAGCCAGGGGTCCCAAGTTTAAAAGGGCAGCTCAGGTTGAGTGTGGGGGAGTGTGTATGTGTGTGGGGGGCAGGACACAGCAGTGGGAGGATCCAGGATGCCCAGTGCTTCCAGGCAAGGGGCACTGAGAGAAGACACATTGTGTGCCCCACAATTCTGCTCAGTGTTCAGGGACTGACTCCGCAGCACTGAGGTTCTGGGCCTGCCATCGTGGTCCACCCTCGGCGGGCTTCAGAAAGTCCCGAACTTCCTGACCCTGTCCGGGAACAGTGTGTGTGGACGTTTCTCTGGGACCAAGGTTGTTGGGGGTGGGGAGGGGAGAAGCTGGGGCGGTTGGGATAATCACACTCTCACAGAAGTTACGAACCACAAGCAGACCTTGCACTCTTCAAGTAACTTCTTTAGCTGCCCCTACACTTCCTTCAGGGTGGGAACAAAAGCCACACGCAAGCCTCCAAATTTGGGATTGTTATTCTGCACTGCATTGCAGTACTTGTGTGTGGGGGGGAGGGAGGAAAGCAGTAGAGTTCAGGGAGAGAGAGAGACTGACTGTGCGTTGATTGAATATGATAGTGTGTGTGTGTGTGTGTGTGTGTGTGTGTGTGTGTGTGAGTGTGTGAATGAGCAGGCATTTGTAACCTGGAGCGTCCATGTTTCTTCCCTCTTCTTTCTGTTTGGACTTAGAGCTCCTCTGCTCCGAAAACATGCCCCTTCTCTTCTGCCAAAAGCTCCCCTAATCTGTGCTGCTTTCAGGGCACAGCCCCAGTGCATGCCAGCAACTTGGGCCAACGGCAACAGCGGAAACCCAGACAGCTCTGGAAAAATATTTGTTTAATTAGCAGAAAGACTGGTGCGCCTCTGAGGGGTCAGAATCCATTTTTAACTGGCTGGCTTGGAGCAGAGCCTGATGAGTTTTCCTGTAGGACTGGGCTGTTTGGGGGCTGAATCACTGGTATCCGGCTCCCACCTGAGTGCTGGTGTGGGAAGGTGCTGCGTGGCCTGCTCAGAGCCTGTGCTTCTCCATGGCAGGCAGCTCCAGGCACACTTGTGGAATACGGAGGGAAGTGCTGGCACACTGGGCGTGTCAGATCCCCACAGAATGGCCGAGATCATCCTCAGACCCTAAAACTACCCTGGAATTCTTCTTAGGACTCGGGCTGGGCCTGTGTCCATCAGGCCTTTTGAATAAGAGCCCTTAGGGTCACCGGAAGCTAGAATTGCCATTTCCAAGGGGGCATTGTTTACAGAAAGGTAGGGTTTCTCCTGGGGACCTGGGGTGCCCTGGAGACCTTCCAGTCACCCCTCCAGGTCTATACTGCCCCCCCCCCCCAAGAATGACTTTCATAGGCTCTCTCCATTCACACTGTTACCCTCTGCCCTCTTTGGTTGGGTGTGCAGTGGGCAGCCCCAGCTGGAGCCCAGCAGGAGGAGAGGGAGGTGAAGGAACTTATTTTCCCTCCCTCCTTGCTGGGTCAAGTCGGGCTCCTGTGTCTCACCCAGAGGGCATGGCCTCACTCAACCCTCTTCCTCTTCTTCACTTGACCTTTCTCTGTTTCTTCAGGTCTCTGGCAATTGCTGTGTGGGGGGCATGACATGATCCTGTGATTTTCCTACACCCTGTGTAATCTTCACAGTCAGTCCCTTTATCATGCACTCCTCAAATTTTCCCAATTGGAAAACTATCTTTTCTGAACTTCTCTATAAAGTGAGGTTTGGCAGTCTCATTCTTTGAGAACAAAGCTGTTCAAACATAGGTGTTGGAAAGCAAACAAATGATGGGAAAGTTTTTTAAAACCCTGAAACAGAGCTACAGGACAGGGTGCCATGGCCCATACTCAGTGATCTGGTGCTGGTGGGCAGTCTGCCTAACCAGACTGAGTGATGTTACAGCTGTGGCCGATGTCAGGGTGAGGTGGCCTCGATCCATTTCACAGAGGCGTGGATGAGAAGAGCAGTGCCAATTTGTCTCCTGGGATCTCTCACTGAATGCTGACAACTAGATGAAAATCTTTTGCCTAGGGACCCGGCTCTGATAATTGCA